CGAGAGTGGCCAACGGGACAAAGCGTCGGCATCTTGGCGCTGTTGACCCAACCTATATGTGACGCTGTAGTCATACTCTTGCAATCGTAGTACCCAACGGCCAAAGCGTCGTGACAAATTTTCGAGAGACGATAACCAACACAGAGCATGATGGTCAGCCACTATTGTGAAATGCCGGCCGTATGAATAAGGGCGAAAATTTTGTACGGACCACGCGATGGCGAGACATTCTTGCTCAGTGTGCTGTAATTTCGCGCAGCAGGTGAAAGAGTACGGCTAGCGTAGGCGACGACTTGTTCTCGAGAGTGTGGTTCCGCTGAAGAAGGACAGCCCTGATGCCAAGTCCACTTGCGTCAGTTTGCAGCAAAGTAGGTGCTGCCGGGTCGAAATGGCGTAGCACTTGTCGTGATGTGAGGCATCGCTTGAGGGTGTTAAAAGCGGCTTCGCAGTCATCCAATCAGACAAAGGGTGCGCTCGTGGTCAGATGTTTGTGCAGAGGAGCCGCAATAGCAGCGAAATCACGTACAAAGCGGCGGAAATACGACGCCAAACCAAGGAAGCTGCGGAGGTCTTTGGGTGTGGTTGGTGTAGGAAAGTTCAGTACTGCAACAACCTTGTCCGGATTGGGCTTAACGCCATGTTAACTCATGACGTGACCTAATACCTTAATTCTCTGACTGGCAAACCGACACTTCTTAGTGTTTAGCTGGAGACCGGCCTTAGCTAAACACGTAAAGACTTCGTCTAGCTGTTCCAGGTGCTGTGAGAAGCTGGACGAAATGATGACAATGTCGTCCATGTAGCAAAGCCAGGTCTTTCATTTTAATCCCCGCAGTACCGTGTCTATCATTCGTTCGAAAGTGGCTGGGGCGTTGGATAGGCCAAAAGGCATCACATTGAATTCAAAGAGCCCATCTGGTCTAGAAAACGCCGTCTTCGCATTATCAGGCTCGTGCATCAGCATCTACCAATAACCAGAGCACAAGTCAAGACATGACGCAAGTCAAGACTCGGCACTTTGTAAAGTATCAAGAGCGTCGTCAATGCGAGGCATTGGGCAGACGTCATTACGAGTAATATTGTTGAGTGATCTCAATGCAAAACCGTGCCAAGCCATCCTTTTTTTTACTAGTACGACAGGAGAAGACCATGCGCTTTTCGAAGGCCTGATGACGTTTTGCGCGAGCATGTCGTTGACTTGTTCTTTTATAAGCTTGCGTTCAGAAGCCGGCACATGGTAAGGGCGGTGGCTAATGACACGGGATGCGTCGGTGTCGATACGATGAGCGGCCACTGTTGTTTGACCCAGTCCTTCGGAACAAACATCAAAGCAAGTTTTGTGCTTCATTAATAACGCTATCATGGCATCAGTTTGCATTTGCGTTAGGATAAGATGTTCACACAAAGTGGCCTTGAGAGCAGGAGATGAATCTTCCGCTGGCATACACTTTGAGAATGATGAAGCCGATGAACTAGTGACGACACAAACTGGTGCTTCTTCGGTAATGCTGGCAACAGTGGTCCCCTCTGGCAGAAGGCGTGGTTCTGGCGTCGTCTTGCAGATGGTGATGCTTGCATAATCACGGGAGAACTGCACTAAACTAGGTGCGATGGTGATTCCTCTAAAAATGCAGCGCTGGCGAGGAACTACCACAGCGTCACCATCTAGAATATCTCGTGACTTGACCATAAGGAGACGTTTTTGTCCGGGAGGCAAGAAGAAATCCGCAGCTGTCACAAGGTTGGGTGACGAAAGGTCAGCAGCAGAAGAAAGCCCAGTGTCCGTAATACGAACGAGGGGCCGATCACACAAAATCACAGCAGACGCAGCTGACAAGAGGTCCTAGCCTAAGATTATCTGATGAGCGCACTAACACAGCACATCCAACGGTATGTGATGACGGATTCCATCGATGAGAACACGAGCAGTACACATTCCGGTCGGGCAAATTGGGCTGTCGTTAGCGCCGCATAACATGGGACCGGCATAAGGAGTTTGCACATTACACAGGCGAAAACACAATTCACGATCAATTACCAAAACGGCAGCTCCAGTGTCTATAAGGGCGTCAACAAAAACACCTTCACCACAAACAGGCTGTAAATTAGCTGGACGAGACGGAAGAGTTATAACGTTCCGACAACAAGCAGTTTACCCTTCAAAAACTGCACCTTCTAGTTTTCCTAGTCCAGAGAGATCGGCGCGGGACGCAGGAGTGATGACGTACGCTGAAACGGTGACGGAGAACGGCGGCGAGATGAACGAGAAGAATGAGGCCCAGCTTGACACCGTGGAGGGGAGGGCGACTGACGGGAGGTGGACGGATAGGGTGCGGGATCGTATTCGTCGGGTCTCGGGGCAAAGTCTCTTTCGTAATTTAGATAACTACGTCGTTCATCCTGCTGACGGCGGCAGCAGAAACGGGATATAAGACCCCTTATGCCACAGTAGAAGCAGATGGGTCGCGGAGGACGCCATGTAGAATATTGGGGTGACCTTGGAACTTGCGTTGTCATCGCTGTCAAATGGTCGCATCCGACGTCCGCAGGCACGGTTGGAACTGGTGCAGGGGCCCATGATGCAACTTTTGCGTACGAAGGAGCTGGAAAGCGCACAGGAGACGGGCATGTGCAGTGCTTGTCATTGATGCTAGTTCGTCCTTGATTATCTCACGCAGGTTAGGAGGAGGTGTGCGGACAGACGCAATGGTTGGGTTACCTGGAACAAGGCCATGGAGTTCCTCTCTGATAATTGTGCGGTTAAGGGCTCGCAATTCATGCTCTCCGGTAAAGCGAGAGTCGCAGGAGGCGTGTAGAAGGCGCATGGAATGAAGCACGTCCAGGCGTTGGCATGTGGTGATGACATCCCGGACGGTAGTTGGATTTTGGATCACGAGACCGTTGAGGGCCACAAAGTTGATACCTTTCAGCAGGTGTCGGATGAGATCGGCCTCCGTCATGTCATTTTGTGCTCGGCGACAGGGAGCCAGAACATCTTCAATGTAGGACGTATACGATTCGTCGTCCCTCTAGATGCGGGTGGCGAGCTTCTGTTTCGCTACCGCAGAGCATCCTGCAGACGTGCCACCAAATACCTGACGGAGATGCCCCGTGAAGGCCGACCAATTGCAGAAGTCGCTCTCGATGTTGTAATACCAGGTTTTAGCGACGCCATTGAGGTAAAAAGGAACGTAGCGCAGTTTGTGCGCCTCGTCCCAATATTTGCAAACACTGGTTCGATCATAACTGTCCAGCCATTCTTCGACGTTTTCGCCGCGAAGACTGGAAAATACCGGAGGGTCTCGGTGAGGGGTACTTACGGTGTAGTGAAGCCTAAGTGGCTGAGGAGGATCGGTTGCAGCAGCGGACGCGTTGGCTTCTGCCATCGCTGTTGCTTGAGGGCACAACCGTCGACCAGACCGGAGCTCTAGGTGTGACATGTAGAGCAGGAGGACGTGGGAACCAAAGCACGCTCCACCACTTATGAGACCACGTCCGGTACGGCAATAACCGAGTTATCTTTTTAATTCAGCCGCACGAGCCAGCCCACGTGACCTACGATGATGATTACTTCAATGGTTTTTGTCATACAGATGAAGATGAAGTATATATATATATATATATATATCTATATATATATATATATATATATATATATATATATATATATATGTGTGTGTGTGTGTGTGTGTGTATGTACGGCACATGACAGCGATGGGGACGGCAAATACCCACTGTAGTGGTCCTTAAATTATTATTGCGACAAAGTGTACACGTGAATAGGCAAACCATTCAGCTGTATGCGACAAATAGGGCACCTTACACGTTTGTCTGATAATTCAATTTTATAGTAGAAATAATTCCATGATATTTAAATTTGTGGTGGTGCCCCACCCAAGAGAATCATTGTTCAGAGTGGAAGAAAAAAAAACCAGGAGTAGATTTACCGCAACCGGAAACGTTGCACTGTATCACTGCAAAAGTCCTATCGTACGAGAAAGTTTTAAACCAAAAAGTAAACGTGGCCATCCAGGGACATTGTAGCAGAAAACATATGCCTAGGGATTTGAAAGACTTAACGTATTCAACTGATGTACCACTAATAAACAGAGAATACCTACGACATTCCCGCTGACGAGTATTAGGCATAAATGCTATCGCTTTTGCAAGATTCAGACGTAGATGATTATCTAAGAACCGTTGCTAAAATAAATGAAGAGTGGCATGGGCATGACCCACTAAGGTACGATCGGAGTGACCAGCGGAAATAAACGATCGTGTATTCAGCGTAGATGGCGGACTTTACCGCCTGCTCAACGCTGAAAATATCAAAATCTACAAAAAAAGAAACAAGAAAGGGCCTAGTATGCTTCTTTGATGTACACGTAAATTAACCTTTCTTCAGAAAAATGCTTGTTAATTTATTTTTTCATACTGTGAGCATGTTGTAGGTTCCGATGTTTTTAAGGAGTGGACATTTCTCCTCACACGATAGGAATGAAGGTTCTGCAGAATAATGTGATGGCTACTCCTATCAAACGCCTTCTGGAATAGTACAAACAAACACCTAATAGAAAATTATGATTTTCGAAGCTTTCACGTATCTATTCTTTTTTTTTGCCAGAAGGCTGAGCTTTGTAGAAGATTTTTTATAAAGACATAATCCACTGGTTTTAGAATTCGATAATATTGGATAAAGATTGTTAGTTCTTTAAGTAATACTTTGCTCCAGTCCTTTACATAAAAGTGGCAGGATGAAAAAGAGACGATAACTGGAAAATTTTTTGTCACGTTTTTTTTTGTAACAGTTGCTTAGAACATTGCCTTTTGCATGCGAACGCTTCGCTTGTAAGGCCTATAAAAAGCGAACTAAGCAGGGTGAAATGGCGTTCGTAACATATTTAACTATATAACAGTGCTAGCTCCATATCCATGCAGCTAACGCTTTCATGCTTCACCTTCTTTTACGAGCGTTGCAAAATAAAGCAGAAAATACTCACAGTGTCCTATTGAGAATGGGAATCACCGCAGCAAGCGTGGCTACGTAATATGTATTGTTCTCTCGTTTTACCACCTCAGCGCTATCACATAAAGGTGGCAAGGTGGAATTGAAATTTTGTACTATGACGTAAATTTTTCCAGTAATATTTAGTGCCTGAAAAACAGTGCGCAACTCCGGAATGAGCACGCATATCAGCTTTGAAATGAATTAACAAAAAGCAGATGCGTTTTCAGAAGCCTATTTCCATGAGGCGCAAAAAAAGCAGTATAGAGAGGCACTTCTTTAATCGCTTATTCAATCATACCAGTCACAAAACTTCGTTTGGAAATTGATTTACCCAGAAACAAATTTGCTCAATCTACCAAAGTGAGGTCCCATCTTGAGTCAAAAAACCGTCGGGTGGGTTTGTTGGTACTGCATATCAAAACCTTTAGCGCAAAAAAAAACTAAGAGCATTCAAAAAGGCAGAAGGAACGCATCCATGGCAAAATTTAAGAGCTTTTCTGTGCATATTTATTTGCTAGTAGTTCTGTGTCCTCGCGTCTTCCTTTTGCATTATCATGTTTGTTTTCACAAAAATATAAGAGACACTGTGTGGGAGACACAAAATAAAAGTGATTGTGTCATTTTTTCCTTCACTGACATCACACGATTTGTTGCGGTGAAAAAATGCGCAGTGTCACTTGTTTGGCAGTAATAATATTTGCAGAAAAAAGTGTTAAATAACTAACGTAAACACACTGTTCCTTCACTAGTGCAGCCATTGGCTGCTCTACTATAGAAACAAATACTAAAATTAAATACTACACATGCTGCTTGATAGTTGGTTGATCCGCTGTCACTTGGTGCAGCAATCAGCAGACGTCTGCGATATTGACTGTTCAGATTATGATACATTCTGATACAGTGACGTCGTCGTTGCAGTGGGGCGAGTCCGTGCGAAAGTTGCCCCTGAGACCTCCCCGGCGAGTTGGCTGGGGATCTCAGACGCTTGAAACAATGCGACATTGCGGTGTCAATGTGACGACTGCCGGTGGACGTTCGCTGGGGCAAACGCCACTTTCGGAGGTAGTTACTCCAGGAGCATATTGGTTTTGGCTGCGACTTTGGTGACCGCCTGTGTTTCGAGAACAACCACTGTGATAAACGCATTCCGAAGTGCCTTTAACCGCATTGCAATAGGATGGAAAGGTGGGCTAGTTGGTAATTCATGATGGTTCACCAAACTGGGAGCGCGGAGGAGCGCTCGTGCTGTGTGCCTCCTTTTTGCTTTGTGTCTGTGTTTACCCCCGCGCTCCCAGTTCGCTGAGCCTTTAATCGCTCATCACAAACTTCCCTCTACATGATCAGGTGGGATACAATGTACAGCGTGTGAAATAAACCATGTGGTAAACCCGATTGAAAGGTGTGTCTAATCTCATTAGGAAGCATGAACATGTGACCAGTAACTGTAAAACGCTTCAATGCCACGTCTGATTGAACCCATTGCTAAACACCGGGGCTACACGTTTCAGCTTTCGCTGTTTGACTATTTGTACGGAGTGCTTGGGCGGTAAATTTTTTTGTGCATAGCATCGCATTGTCAGCGCCGCGTAATCAACGCTATGGTGCTCAGAATTACTTATGCATGCCTTTTCTAGTACAAATAATCACACCACAGAGTACTGACGTGTTACAGTTGTGCCTGAGATATGCGCAATATTCACTTTTCATTCGACAATGTGCACTAGTATGAGCGCAGAAACCAAATAAAGTCTGGTGGTCGTTGATAAAATGGTTGAACTCTAGCCTAGTAGCTGAATCGTTACGGCAGACAGACAGCCAGACGAAAATTTCGGTGTTTATGATGATAAAACTTTCTTTTTATTCGCTAAAAGGTTTCTGGTCAAGTGGGTGGGGTCCTTAGTCCAGGGCCCCACTGGCCTTAGCGGCTCGCTGGGCTTGTTCGTGCAAAGCCGGCTGGCTTTCCCGATCCTGGCTAACAAGTTTGCGTAAAGTTTCATTGTTCAGGTGGCCAATCATTGCACTTGTGATTTTATCTATGCCAAGGGCTGTGCTATTGTTAAAAGTTTGCGCAGCTGTGTGCACTTCTCCTACCCCTGTGGAGCTGGTCAGTTTGGGGTTGGCTGGGCCATTCGTAGTTGAAGCGTACCTTATGTCTTTGACTGATCCCTTGGTGGAGCTTAGACAGATATTCTTCAACTGAGTGACTAAAGCTTCCTAAGTTCCCTCGAACTCATTTTGTTCTTGTCGGAGAGTTTTTTGTTTGTTTTTGGCTGTACGTGTAGTCAGATCTTACATGCTAAGTAATATTGCCCACGTTTTCTTTGTGTGCAAAGTACTCTGAAGGGATGCATTGAATTGAAACAAGTTATTGTCATCCAGAGTTCAAGCACATTCATTGGCTTTCTGGCTAAGGTGCTAACTTCATATCTTTATTTTCCTGCTATGTCGTTGCTTCTTCCATCGCTTAGCTAAACTGCGTATAGCTTCCCACAACCTTAGTAAATGAGATCAACGGTGGGCGCATTTAATGTCGCTATCATTTTTCAGATAGTCTGGGCATAAATTTTTTTGAACGAAGTTTTCCAGGTCAGTTAATTTTTATATGCCTCTGGGTTTACTTGTTTCTTTGAAAGCGGTCCAGTCTGTTATACTTGCCATTCCCAGTGGTTGTCTTATTTTAGGTGAATTTAGGAACAAGCTAATTATGTAGTGATTGCTGGGTTCTTTTTTTCGAAATTGGTTCACGTTATCTCTTTTTGGCCAATTGTAAAAGTAAAGTCTGGAAATGTGTCTCAAGTTGCGCTATTTCCGGAACGAGTTAGTTTGTCTAAGAGCGTGGCGAGCCATAAGTTATTGTTTTCGATTGCCAGAAGCAGGATTTGCCCTTTAGAAGAGTCTTTTGGGGTATCCCCATCCCGCATGAGGTGCACTGAAGTCCCAGAGAACAACTACTTTGTTCCTCAGATTTTTCGTCTGGCTTACATATGTTATTAAGCCTCCAAAATATACGTCACTTTCTCTGCCCGGGCTGTACTTGGCAAGCACAATGGTCTTGAATTTGTTCCTTTTATATGACCAGATAATAACGACTCAGTGTGGCATGTGCCATATGGGAATACTCGTGAGACTCAGCACGACATCCTTTTGAACCAAATTCCCAGTTTTGGAGAATTCAAGATGAGCGGGGAGATTTTAACCTGTCATGTTGTGTATTTTGGTTACTATTTTGCTGGGGACAAAGTACATCAGGCAGGATTGGCGTCGTTTATGTAATGGGATAAGGTTCATATTTTGTTGTCTAGCGTACGATAGTTATAATGCTATACTTTTAGTGTTTCTCTACAGAGCGCATAATTTCTAGCCATGATCGTTGTTTTCGCTATCGGACAGCTCAAACTATCTGGCATAATGGGTTGGGGCTGCTGGGCTGTTGCTAGCGCGTATCCTAAATCTTTTCAGTGATGAAGTAATTGAATTGTTTACGTATCTTTTACGTGTGTATATTTTGGACAAGTTGAGAGCAGAGTGGATTAAGGAACAAAGGTGGTTAAGGATATCATAGTTAAAATCAAGAAGAGGAAATGGACATGTGCCGGGCATGTAGCGCGTAGACAGGATAAGCACTGGTCATTAAGGGCAACTAACTGGACTACCAGAGAAGGCAAGCGGGTTAGGGGGAGACAAAAGGTTAGGTGGCCAGATGAGATTAGGAAGTTTGCGGGTATAAATTGGCAGCAGCAAGCACAAGACCGAGTTAACTGGCGGAACACGGGAGAGGCCTTTGTCCTGCAGTGGATGTAGTCATGCTGCTGCTGCTGCTGATGATGATGATTTCGGTAAACAACTCCTGCATTTGTTGTACCAGGGTGGATTACTGAATTTTATCCAGTCGCCTATACGTCCTGCCTCTTCTTGCTGTGGCTTAGCTTGAGACGGGTGTTGTGGGATAATTTCAGAGTGGCCAACTGTGGTTTAATTTCTGCCAAGCTGGCTTCTATTAGGTTGTTTTCCTCAATGATTTTTTTTTATATTCCAGGTTTACATTAGTGATGTACTAGTGGGATAAGTGGCTTGTGCCCAGCTTGCCGGTAGTTCAGCTTGCCGCTGACCTGGAGCTGCCCTGGACTTTGGATGGGTTTGGTGAGGGGTCTTGGTTACTGGAGTTGGTTCAGAATACTTTCCGCTGTTGCTTCGTCTGAGGCCCGATATAGTTCTTGTTCTGGGCCGGGATCTCGTAGTGGATTTTGAGCGTGACATATGTACTTAGTGTTGCATTCCTGGAAATTCTTGATGACCTAACTGCATCTCTTGCTCTTTGGATTCAAGCCAGCGTGGTCGGCGGCTCTTGTGAATGCCAGTTTCTTGTATTGCCTATTGCATCTTCGGTGTCAGCTTCCTCTTCTGGTATTCGGGTCCGTCGTTGAGCTGGCTTCAGGCGCTTTCGAAAGCTGTGATATTCGGTCAAGCGTTCTTTTTGATACGTCGCACAGCGTGGGGTGCACCCATGCCGATTCGTTGGCTCCGAAGTTCAACATATATTACAAATGTGAAATGCGGGCTGCAGCAGACGTTCGTTTTGTGGCCCACTTGGAAACAGATTCGGCCGATCTGTACTGGGTTTATGTACGGGTAGCAGGCCAGCTCATCTCTTTGGTAGTACATGTATTTGGGTACAAAAGTTCAGTAGAACGTGACGACCGCTGTCTTTGACTCACCCAACATACGAGCGTGGATGTTTTCACCGTGTTTTCAGTGCGGATGCTCAAGTTATTCTCAAGGGTATCCGATGGCGTGGGGAGGGGGAGGCCACGAAATGTCCAGTCTTCTGTAGCGTGATCAACAGTCATTTTTCGAACAAGCTCATGCCATTTGTTCATCAGGAGTCAACACAATTATAATATTGGAGCCGGGTTTTAAGCGTTGCATGAATTTCTCACCATGAATGTTATTTCCGCACGCTTCCTTGAGTGCCTTGGTCAGTAGTGGGCTCGTGAGAGTTCCTATGTGCAATCCTTGGTGCAGTCTTACAACACTATAAAGTGGTCCCGCGGTAGGGGTGGGAGCTTGCTGTGCTTAAGCTTACGGTAACCGTTGGAAAATTTTTGTGCTTGTTTATCAGTAGTAGGGCTGCTCCTTTGCACCTCCATGGCGGTCTAGTGGCTAAGGTACTCGGCTGCTGACCCGCATGTCGCTGGTTCGAATTCCGGCTGCGGCGCCTGCATTTCCGATGGAGGCGGAAATGTTGTAGGCCCATGAGCTCAGATTTGGGTGCACGTTAAAGAACCCCAGGTGGTCGAAATTTCCAGAACCCTCCACTACGGCGTCTCTCATAATCATATGGTGGTTTTGGGACGTTATACCCCACATATCAATCATTTAGGACTGCTCCTTTGCCCCTGTTGATGTTCTCTTGCTTGTCGTTTTCAATGACGGACCATGAGTACCAATCTCCAGCTTTCGTCGTGGTCATCAGTGTTTGGTTGCGTCGATGGCGAAGCATCGTTGGTATTGGTACCATCCCCGTGACAATTGGCGGGCTTTCGACTCCGTGCAGAATTGGGCCCCGAAAAGTCCATACCTTCATTCATGGTATTTTCATGGCTGGGGGGGACATGCGTGGGCGTTCAGTGTGGCAGGCACAGCTGTTCGGCCTGCCATCAGGGTTTGCGTTGCCGGCATTAATGGCGTATCAGCCTGTATCTTCCACCTATCGGTGGGCCTCGCATGGCGGCTACGCAGTGAAGAGCTTCTTCTGTAGTGGTGGCGTAAAAAAAAGGCTCCCGGGCCAGAACTTTGGTGTTGGCAGACTCGGGGTTACTTTACCTGTGCAATGGTGTCAGAATTTTGGGATGTCTGGATCGTAACGCACCCAATAACATGAAAACTACGAGGCGCGATGCAATTGCTTGCACACTCCTTGATCCCACCAAGCATTTTTCGCTATTGAAGTATCCGAAAAAAAGACTGTCATCTTGCCTGTCTTGAAGCAGTGGCACATCGCCTCTCGTAGCGACTGGCATCATGTTAAATTTTTCAGTGGTTCGTCGGAACTGTGACGTCATAGTGAAGAGCAGCCGTAGTTGGACGCTCAAAATACAAATAGAAAGTGGTACACTTTTTATTCTTAGCTTCTCACTGACTATAGTCACGCGGCCGGTGAGAAGGGCAAGCAACGTTCAGCTTGAAGTTTAAGCACTCATTGCTGCTGCGCGTAGCTTTGCAATTTTCGGCAGACGCGAAACGCGAATGCCCAGCGTATGCATTGCGCTGGTCAGCTAAAAATTTTCAAACCTGGTGTAGGGGTCATTAAAAATTCCCTTCTTACGATCCCTCATAGTCAGGAGCAAGAAACGCGTACCCATTGGCAGACGCGAAAATATCTTGGATACAAATAATACTCTTCAAGCATGCTTGTTATTTTGGCTGCTAATAATGAAGAAGTTGTTTACTAAACGCGTCACGACATGTGAAACTACCAAAAAATTAGTAATGTAGCTAACTTGAGTGGTTATCGCAAGATTTGATTGGATTGGATAAACTTTTATTTGGTCCTTCAAAACCCAGATCACTGTGTTGCGGATGGGGTTGCAAAATTGAAAATTTAACGCAAAGTAGTTGCAAACAGTAACCTGCTTCCGTCATGGCTATGGGCAAGCTTCCTTAAATAAAAAAAATCTAAATTGATGTAGTTCCATGTAGTAAAACTATTTCTGCTCTACCAAATATAAAATAGAAATCTACTTACATCTTCTGCATATTGATAACAGTCATATTGTAGATTGTCTTCAAACGGGACGTTTGCACTAATGACATTCTCAGTACTAACAGAACGTGAGGATCTTATAAAAAGAAGTAGGACTGGGAGACCTAAACGTATGCACGTCATGATAAACGTTTGCGTCTGAAGAACAGCTATGTCTGATGAGGTACTTTAAGTACACGAATTTTTTTTGCCATATTGGAAGGACTGACATTTTAGTTTATTGATGCAGTCAACTTGAACTTTGTATACGACAGCACACTTGCTAAAAAGTTAAAGCAGCAAGAATATTGTCAATTACTTGAAATGTCTCTCACCCTTCTATGAGTAGCTTTTTGTTCGTTATTTGATATAGAACGGTCGAAAAGACTTGTTTACATGAAGAGTTATCCATCATGTAGTTGATGATGACAGAGTAACACAAGTGTGTTCAGTGAAGTCCTTGTTTCGGTAAGTGGAGTTTTTCGGCAAAAATGTTTTCAAAACCAAGTTGTGACTTTTCTCTATTAGGAAAATATTTGTAATACATATCGAAATTACACATCACTGCCCCTACCGCCACTAGGCCCAAATACCCTACATCGAGAAGTTATAGCCTGAGAAACTTCTATAAAGCTGTCATTTTTTATTCGTATAAGATGTAAGTATGTAGTCTTCATAAAAAAAAGAACGTTGTCTTCTGCCATGCACTGGAAAGATTAAACTATGTGCCTTATTTGGGTAATTTTTTAGACAATGCGTCATCTGCAGTTTGAGATTTCTATAAACAAAGATAAAGAAAGGGATGGGAGGAAAAGCCGGGGGGCTAACCGGAGTCGAATCCAGTTTTCTCTAATGGTCTCGGCGTCTTCGGGTGTTTTTCTGAAGCAAAAAATTCTGGCGCATGCCACGAAAATTCCATTATAGAAAAATCCCAAGGTGGAATGAATCCCAGAACTTCCACATGGCAGTCAGGTGTTCTATGCCACCTAAAGGCATGTACTTGAAACTACTTCGGAAAAAACCCTATACAGGTGTCATGTAGGGCAAGGAGCCGTGTTGACAGAAGCAGTTTCAAGTGATTCGTGTGACGAGTAAGTTGTTTAAATAAACCCACTCATTTCAAAGGGCGCATTCATAAATCCTCATGCAAGTGGCTTTAGCGGCAGCATGATGAAAGGTTATAGCTGCGTATGTGCACGTAATGTCATAGACAACCAAGGCGGGTGCTTTCCGAGTTTGCAAAATAGTAAATTGCGGTGCAATGTGGTCTTCGCAAGTGCCCATGTAAAAGGCACAGACGCGCACATGTGTTCTATAACAGGGAACGCTGTTATGAGATCTTAACAGGGGTCACACACGGCGCCGTAGTTGTACGCCGTCACCGCTGGAGTCCGTAACCATTGTCGCACGATGATGATGAAATAAACATTTATTTTTCGAAACAGTGTTCCTGAGTTTGTGATCTCGGGGTCACCCTAGGTGGGAGGGTCCCTTATTCCAGAATCCTCTGGCCGCAATCGCCTCCCGGGCCCTGGTGACAAGTCCTCGTTGGTCGTCTAGGTCGCGTGCGGCAATCTTGGCCTCCCACGTCTCGGCTAGGAGGTTGATACGTGCAGTCGTTGCGGACTTGGTATTGGCATCTTCGTGGTGCCACGGGCACTCGAGTAGAAGTTGGGCCAGTGTGTCTGGCACGTCGCATATTGGGCAGTTGTAGGCGTATAGTGTTGGGTAGACTCTATGCAGTAGGGTGCCGTGTGTATAGATGTTACATTGAAGTCTCCGAAATGCTGTGGCCCCTTCTTTATTCAGCTTGGGGTGAGGTGGCGGGTACACCCTGCGAGCTAGACGATAATGTTGTCGGATGGCGTTGTATGTTGGTGGTACTGGTCTACACTTATTCTGCAGCGCTGGCTAAGCGCGGGTAAAGCGAGGTCCCGAGGAAGACCCGGTTGACGTGACCTTGAGCCGCGGCACTAGCCGCTTCATTTCTCTCGAGCCCATCGTGCTCCGGCACCCATACCACGCAGGTGTAAGGAAGCGGAGGCCGGCTCTTTCTCAGAATTTTGAGAGCTTCGGTGGAGATTCAGCCTCGCGTTTAATTGCGGACAGTGGATTGGGAATTTGTCTAAACTACGACCGCGTTCTTACTAGCCGTAGTGGCAAGGGCGATCGCTGCTTCCTCGGCAGACTCGGAGCTCTGCACCCGGAGGGTGGCGGATGCCAGCTCTTGTCCTTCCGCGTCGACCACACTGAAAGCGTAGGCTGTTTTGCCCGGGTATTTTGCCGCGTCGACGTAGTGAGCGTCTGGATTGTGCTGGTGTCTTCTGCGGATGGTGTCGACTAGAGCGATTCGTCTTTCCCTATGGTACTCGGGATGCATGTTGCGTGGTACTTGGGCGATGCTGAATGATCCTCGCATGTATGGCAGCATCTTCTCTTTGTGGTCTGCCTTGCAGATGTAGCTCTCGCTGTAGCCCAAGCGCTCAAGGACCGATCTGCCCGTCGACGGAAGCTTAAGTCTCTCGAGTTGGCTGGTCCGTTGGGCTTCTGCAAGCTCTTGCCCGGTATTGTGTATACCAATTCTTAGGAGTGTCGTGGTCGACTTCATTGGAGGTAGCGTTATGGAGAGCTTGATAGCTTTGCGAATGAGCACATTCAGCTTGTCGACATCAGATGTCTTGAGCACGAGGTACGGGGTTTCATAGGTGATTCGGCTGGTTAGTAGAGCCTGCACAACTTTCAGGGTATCGTTTTCCTTCAGGCCACTGTGTCGGTTTGCAACTCTCCTGACGAAGTGCGTGAGCTGGAATACTGCACGGGGAAGTCAAGGAATCGTCGTGACGGCTGATCCGTCGTGGTGCAGGTGCAAGCCGAGCACGCGAAGCGAGGTGACCTTCGGTATTTGGTTTCCGTGAAGGATGATGCTTGGGTCTGGCGCTTCGCAGGTTGGAAGTCCCCGCGTTCGGGCCTTGAGTACCAGTAATTCCAAATTTCAGGTGCACAATAGAGACCGCAGCTTTCGAGGTAGATCTCTATGACATTTACCGCCTCAAGAAGGCAGCTGTCTTGCTCTCTAGTGCTCTTGCCTCGAGTTCAAAGCGTAATATCATCCGTGTAGATGGCGCGACGTTGACCTTCTATTTTTTTCGAGAAGCCGGGGGAGCTTAAGGAGTGCCACGTTGAAAAGGAGTGGTAACACAACGAAGCCTTGAGGTGTGCCCTTGTTGGGCAGCTCAAATGTTTCGTTCCGTATGTTGTATATTCCCTACCGTGGCCGTACGACTGGTGAGGGAAGCTTCGAACATTACCATAAATCTTGGAACCGCATCCGGTATCTTCGAGATTTTGTAGTATTGCTTTATGGCTAACATTGTCGAAGGCGCTCTTCGCATCAACTGGCAAGAAGGGACGACTTGCTAATCTTGCTCAAGTGATCAACTAGATCTTTCCTTGAGGAGTAAGACGCCCTTGTGGCGTCTGCCGCACTTCGCACTACAGACGGTGGTCTGGCAGAAGATGGAGCTCTTGCTCTGGCAATTGTTCACTGCTCCGATACTGTCACATGACTCCCATTTCACTATTGTAACAGATTCACAAGCTGCTTGACATGCTTTCGCTCAAGGACTTGTGGCTGCACATACACATAATATCCTCTCTTCTGTCTCACCGTCCGCCTTACGTCCTGTGCGTATCGTCTGAATTCCTGGACACGCCTCTCTCCATGGTAATGAACGCGTTCATGCGGTTGCCCGGGAGCTCACCGGCCGGGCTCCATTGGAAGAGCTGTCCAATCCAGACGACACATCGACAGAACCACTAAACTACAACGCTACCCTGGAGTACTACCGACAGAGCCATTATACGTATCCTCCCCCTCATCCTTCACTTAACAGAGCAGATGATGTCGCTTGCCGGCAACTACAGAGCAATTCATTTCCGTGCATTTATATGCTAAATCGCTTTCATCTGACCCTCTACTCCTCCTACTGCCCTTCTGAGGATCCTTACCGACAGTATACCACTCCACGTGGGAATACTCTGCCCCACAAGGCGTTCCTCCCATTTCCAACCCCACCCCTTCCTCTTGGGAGACTGCACTGCTCAGCTTACTGCCGGCAGAAACAGCAGCAGCTGGTCCAGCAGGCTCGCAGGGTCGCGCAAGGCAATGGAGCCCTGTACTGAGGGCCCCACCCAAAGAAAGCTCAGTGTGCATTTGTTAATAATAAAAGTTTATTCTCTCTCTCTCTGTCTCTCTCTTGAGGAGTAGGAGGATGCCCTGCGTAGAAAGCAGCTGGCGGAATCCGAACATGGTGTCTGTGAAGTACCCGTTGGCCTCAAGGTGTGATGGGAGCCAGTCGTGAATCATACGCTCAAACAGCTTGCCAACGCACGAAGTCAGAGAAATGAGTCTTAGGTTGTCAACCGCTAAGGACTTGTGGAGCTTAGGTATCACGATAACCTCCGAATGCTTCCACGCGGCTGGAAGCTCTCCTTTTTCCCAGCAGTCATTGCAGTAGTGTAGGAAGGCAGTCATAGCCTGGTTGGGTAGCTGTCGGAGGAGCTTGTTGACTATAATGTCTTTGCCTGGACTCTTGTTTCTTAAGCTTGGAAAGAGCTACTTGAAGTTCTGCTGGTGTGAAGGACCTGTCAAGGTCAGAGTTGGGAATGCCTTCGTATTCTTTGTGTGGTGGTGGCATTTCCGCTGATTGGAGAGGACCACGCAGCTTGTTGCATAGTTCGTGGAGTAGGTCTTCCTCCGAGACATCGTAATTGTGTGTTAGCTGACGTACTCGTTGCCGCTGCTGCGTCTTGGTGGAGCGGTCACCGAGGAGAGTCCGCACCAGGTGCCACGTCTTCTTGGTGGTGAGCGTACCCTGCAGCTTATCGCAGAAGTGGCGCCTCACTAGGTGTTCGGCATACTGTTGCGCCTCTTCTGCCAATCAAGAAATTTTTTCTGAGTTTCTTGTCCAATTTTTGCCTCTTCTATCTGTTCAGCAAGGCTCGTATGGTCTCCCAGAGGCGGAGTAAGTGGGAATCTACTGCCGGAAGGTCCTCGTTAAGCTGCATTACTTTGGTGCACCGTTTGGCGGGATCCAGAATTTTGGTGAGCCAGGCGTCTATGTCACCTGTTGCGTTCTCACCATCGA